AAGGGGCTGGGCTGGCCAAATCCCCGCGGAAGCCAGGGTGGGGACCTGGTGGAGATTCAGGTGGCTGCGGGGCTGGCAGAGTGGGGATGCCTGGATGCTTGGACACCGTTATCACTAACCACCGTGATAACCCTCTTCTGCCCGCGATGAGTTAGTGTGGGGACGGCTGCAAGGGACAGAGAACCTGCTCCCGGGAGTGCCAGTCTTTTCTTTCCTCCCTGACCTTCACGCAGGAAGGGGAGAGGAGAGGGACCAGGAAAGGCTGCTCAACCTGTGCTCAGAAACACTCCCGCATCCTTTGGGAAACACTGCCTGAGTCGTGGCATGCACCAGGCCTACGGGTGTGTGGTTACTCCCGTGAGGAGACACACAGCTGAGAGTCAGCTCCCAGGTGACTGCAATAAAATCACTCATAAAATAACATCACTGAGAGAACACACGAGTTCCCAGAGGCACACAAGCCCAGCCACACTCACTCCTGCGGGGCCAGGGCACTGTGAGGAGGGGGCACAAAAGGATGCTCTGAACTGCTCTGCTACCCTCTCTGCGTGCTGCTGCCAGGGGCAGGGCCAGCTGTGCTCCCCGGGAGGTGCACACCAGGTGGAATGGAAAATCCACTTAAAACGAAATGTGGAGCCACAAGCTTTCCTGGTGCCTGGAGAAATGCAGCCAGAACGGTTCCCTTCCCTGGAGACAGACAGGCCTCTGTAGTGGAAATAAATCAGGGCCTCAGCTGAATGACTGAAACCATCCTTTCTGCTTGTCACCAGGCTCATGGATGGCTCCTTTCCTGGGGAAGCCCTATGCTGGGGTGCCAGAGACATCCCATCATGCTACAGACATGGGACACAGAGAGGAGGGGCACTTCCCCCACTGCTCATTCTGCATGGGGAGCCCACTGGGAGTCCTCAGACCCACATCCAGATGAACGTTTGAGTACCTCCAGGTCCCTGCCACGGCTGAGGCACACCACCAGTGCTCTCCCTTTTTTCCAGCCCAGCTCCCAAACACACCTGAGGATTCCTGTCCTTTCCTATTCCCTCTGGCACTTCAGCCCCACCTCACCGGTGCTGGACTCCCGGATCAGGTCACTGTAATGCCACAAATCCCTAAAAAGGGCCAGATACCACCTTTAGCTGTGGTTCACCCCAAGGAGCCAATGCTCCTGCTCCCCAGGAAGCTGACATACTTTCCCTACCTGCCTTCTCATGGTTCAGATACACCACAGGCATCTTGGCTTTTTCCTCATCCCTAATTGTGCCTGAACTTCCCTTCTACTTTCTTCCGAGCAAACACAGAGTCTGGTTAGAAATATTAATTTGCATATTCACCAAAGGGTCACAGGAATTCTTTTTATTACCGATAACCCTAGACCACTAAACATAATACAGGTGGCTGGTTAAACGGTTCATACATAGCCCTCTATCACTGCTGACTTTCTATTTCAGAATTATTTTTCTCAGGCTTTCTGCTTCTCCTCCTTTCTTGGCCTGACAGCAGCATCAAGGTTTAAAACCTGGAAATCTTTCACCTAGCTTCACCTTCCTTCAAACATTTAACAGCCTGACAGAAGACATGATTGGCTACGAAGGACAGAAAAGGGAGAGAAATGGAAGAAGGGGAATCCCTGCAGGACTGAAATCTGCCTCCGCCTCCTGTACACCCTTGGGCCTTTCTGTCCCTGTGTGTGCCACCAGCACGTCCCATGCTGGGACCGGCATGGGGTGGGGCAGTGCTGGGCTCCATCTCCTCAGGACACCTGAGCTCAGAGTGGTGGGCTGCACGTCTTTTTGGTGGCCACAGGAGTTCTCTGCTGTCGGTCCGTGAGGATGTCACTCACAGCTCCCCGCCGGACCCTGGGTGGTCGCTGAGTTACGCACGGCAGGAGCTGAGTGCCCAGCATGTTCCCTCAGGTGGATAATCCTCCTGCAGGGATGGCCTCTCCCCTCCTGGTGCTGCCCGGGGGCTCTGGAGGCCTTGGCCTCTGCAGCGAGTGACAGTCCCTAAAGTTAGGAAAGGTTTGCTAAAGCCTGGCGCAGAGGGGGTGGGGAGAGCAGTGAAAGGACAGACAGACGGGGCGGGGGGGAGGGAAAAAAATAAAGATGCAGAGGATTTCAGCTCCAGCTCTGCTGCAGCAACTTGACGTGGGGTGTGTGAAGGAGCCTGAAACTTAAAAAGATTTATTTTCTCTAGTCATAAATCTCATCCCGTTGTTCCTCTGACCAACCAAGCATGATAAAGTCCTTTTCCATAAAGTATTCAGTATTAAAGCCACAAAGCTCACCCAATCAGTAGCCATCTGCTTCTCCCATAACTGCTGCTCCAGAAGCAGGGAAAAGCAGCCAGAAGAGAAAGGGCACCACTGTTACGGCTCTGGGACAAATGAGGAGGCACTGAATAGCAGCCGAAACCTTTGGTTTGCCTTGTATATCTGTATCTATAGAGACAGAGGAAGAAAGGAAGCATTATATTGATACAACAATTGTAAAACAAAAAAAGGAAGAGGCATCTAAAGGGCAATACAGCGGGCATCAGAGGGCCCCGCGGGGAGGGATGCTCGCAGATTCATACAAACCTTTAATTGCTTTGCAATTGAAAGATAAAGAGGCCGAGAAAAGAAAAAAAACCAAACCAAACCAAAACAAAACAAAAAAAAAAAAGAAAAAAAAACCACCAAAAAACCGGAGAGAGTGGCAAAGCGACCCGCGTTACACGGTGCATCGGCGGCTGAGCTCTGGCAGCCAGCGAGCCGGAG